TAGTATATATGAAGTGCTAGAAAATATCAAGGATTAGATTTAAGTATAGAAAATATCAAAGAGTTGAATCTCCTCTTTTGTAAGCCATCTTCATACTCTCATATCATCCATACACACCATAGCAAGAGCTTGGACTTGGAACTTTGATTGAGAATTGGAAATCATAACTCAAACTTGAGAGTGTTTTGAAATCAAGTTTGGTTTACAAGAAGAACACCTTCTCTACAAGAGGTATAGCTTTCATTTTAATCTTTGTTCATCTTTTTCTTGTGTTTTCATATTGTTTTGGGATTGATTTTAAGGGTTGAAACTTGTGATGTAAGAGCTACCAAAGGTAGAGGGGTTAACCACCATTCCTTGAACCTTATTCTAAGCTTATATACTTGTGTTTCCCACATATTTTTCTTGTTTTAACTATTGTTTTGTTAAACCTTAGGGGCTATATTAGGGTTGTCCTAATTTGATAAACTAGTTTATGCTTTGATTATTTTGTTTGTCGTATCATAAGTTCTCTTATATAGCTTGTTGTATGTTGTTCTTGACCTTTCTTTGTTAAAATTCCATGTTTAATTGTTAACAAGCAACCTATCATCCATTTCTTTAAATTGAGAGTGATTTCAAATGGTTAATGGTTATTCAAAATATGAGCTAGAGATCTATGCTTAATGGCTTAATCTTCACGGAGGTTCATCGCCAACGGTATAATTTCTCTTTCATGTTGAGAATTACTTCCTATTTGGCATGCTTCTCATTTTAGTGGACATAATCATCACCTTGGACTTAATGAATTAAAGAATGGAAAGGACTAAACAAAATTGCTAAAATGAACCAACCAACATAAAAAAAAGAAGAAGTTATATTGCTTGGATTTGGCCGGACGTTATGTCGAGGCTATTGTGTCAAGGCTTGTCTAACATCAATTCATGATATTTTAGATAAACTTTGAAGCGTATCTACCTCCCTCTTTGAATTCACTCTATGATAGGAGGGAGGGGTAGTTCCATTCATTTATTAAATTTTTGTACAAATTGTATCCAAAATCATTAAGCAATCAACTTGTTCATTAATGATTTTAGAAACGATTCCAACATTATCTCGAGGCTTTCCCATGACAGAGAAGTGTGAGAGGGACAAATAGAATTTGGAACACCCTGTCTGCACTGTTTTCACCTCAGGCACAAATAAACAGTCTTCTGCAAAGAAATAAGGCATAGTCGGATTTATTTGAGCTTGACCGATTGCAGGCTGGCCAGACCCCAATATGTGGCAAACCATACACTTTTGGTTAGCAGTAGTAACTGCAGTAGTGACTGAGGGTGAAATAGAGCAGTTCCCAGTAAGGCAGACAGAGTGGCTTCCGAAGAGCATCGCACGAGTATTTCATATGTATTGTTGTTATAATAAATTAGACAACCCTTCAATTGTTATTCATTTGGATTTGTAATAAATAGTTAATTTAGACACTCGGACATTCGGACCCTCCTGTGTGAGGGCACAATTTTGAAATAATGTGTATGTCTTCTAACCCCACGTCTTTCTCCCTTTTATTTACTCGTTTATGATGATTAAATTAGGGACATCATGTTTCGTTTAGCATACTTCATGTTTGCATCCACTTATCTTGCATGTACTGGGGCTCAATTCATCATTTTAACTTGCTTCATCGTTTATACACTTCTTTGAATATGGGTTTAAATTGCATACTATCAAATTGATTCATATGCCAGATTAGTAGCCGAGCCTATTTAATTGCATATTGAATGTGTTACATTAGTCATATTGCATAGTTAGGATCATGCATTTTTCTAACTAGTTTTTCTTTTGGCTTGGAGTACGAGGTAAGGTTTTATTTGCTTTAGGACGTTGCATAAGTGTGATTGTTGCCATGTCTAGCATGTTAGCCATGAGGCTAAATGCTTAATTGATAAATTGCTTGAATGCCTGTGGATGAAGGCTATTTGTTTAAATTGGAATAATTTGAGTAAATGTTCATATGCGATCACTTTTTCAAGTGGTACATATCCAAAACACTTTTTCAAAACAAACATGAATCAAGTGTTCCAATTTTTGCAAAATTAGCCTATACTTGTATGCATTACATAGTAAAGTTAGTCTAAATAATCGGAACAAGAGCATATAATGTAAGTAAAAATTACATCATGATTAGTAAAGGCCGATCTTTGATCGGGCAAATGGGGTGCTCAATTCATGACATTTCCCTCTCGTACCTAAGTTCCCGAACCAAAACACTTTGGTGATGACGGATAAGTGGCCTTTGGCACGAGTCACAGGTTTCCTAAATTTTTCAAATAAAATATTCAGGTGGCGACTCTGTAAATCTGGCAAAGCAGTCCATTTTTGGCATTTGATTCAAACATCAATTTTCCAAAAAGAATTGCCAGATTTGGACTCTGTTTGTGTCTTCATTATTTCACATTGCACTTATGAAATTAGATTCAGAACCACAGGTAGAGTCTGATACTGTAAGGCTATTCGTCTTCTGAAAGGAGTACGAAAAGTCAAGCTACAGCATGCTTGTTTTATAACTCTTTTGTTTTATCTCTTTTAGCTTGCCCCGGAGTACTAGGTTAGCACTTATTGCTTTAGCATATTGCATGCGTGTGATTGTTGCCATGTCGAGCATGATTACCATGGGGCTAAGTGCTTAAGTGGTATAACTCTTGAATGCCCGTGGATGAAGGCTAATTACTTGAATTGGAATAATTGGAATAATGGTCTCGTTTGGGAAGTGGTTATTTTAGTAGGCTATTTGGCTTTTTGGTTATTTTAGTAGGTTATTTTAGTTTTGTGTTTGGGAAGTTGAGTTAAATTTTTAGGTTGATTGTTGTATTGAAAAAAGTGTTTGAAATGATGTTTAAATTGAAATTACAAATTTACCCTTCACTTTATTTTTTTAAAAGATTGAGAAATAGGGGTGATAATGTAATTTAGCAAACCTGCAGCCTACACTGTTGGTGGCAGTGTAGGCTGCACTGCTGCAGCAGCCGACTGAAAATCAATTTTTTTTTTTTTTGAAAATCAAGCAAAAGTTTGCTACAGTTAAGCTTTTGGGCTGATTTTCATTTTTGGGCTATATTAGCCGCCCAAACCACTTCCCAAACAGCCCCAATGTACGTATGAGATCACTTTTTCAAGTGTTACATATTCAAAATATTTCAAAACAAACATGAAATCAAAGTTTTCCAATTTTTGCAAATTAGTCTATACTTGTGTGCAGCAAATAGTAAGTTAGCCTAATAATCGGAACAATAGCATATAATGTAAATAAAAATCACATCATGATTAGTAGAAGCTGATATTTGATTGGGCAAGTGGGATGCTTAATTTATGACCTTCCCATCTCGTACCTAAGTTCCTAAGCCGAGACACTTTGGTGATGACGGATAAGTGGCCTTTGGCACAAGTCTCGGGTTTCCTATTTCCAAAAATATTTAGGTGGTGAGTGATTGTAAATTTTCTCCAAATTTAGTGAAATCAAGTTGTCTTTGTGGAGTAGGCAATTGCCCAACAATGTAAATCTCTTGAGTTTGTCTTGTGTATTCTGAGGCCCTCTGGCACAACAATCTCTCATCATGTTGATGGGTCTCTGAGAAATGTTAATCAATGAAATATTCCATTTCCGGATATAGTAGCCTCAGATCAACCCATGTCATATCAGAGTTCAGGCTATAGTTCTATTGCTTTAATTTTTTGGGATAAGTTGGGTTAGTATGCAAATCTGTTTATGCATTTAAAAATGCCAAATTAACTTTTGTGATCCATTGGTATTCCAGAAATTGTTCCAAGAATTGCTTTCAGAAAAGCTAAATTTCACAGAATAAAGTTTCAAGAATGGACCACTTTGAATCAATGACGTTGGCTAGACAGAAAACTCATCCACAAATCACAAACGAATCCCTTAATCACAAGTCATAGTTTGCTCAATGTCAAATCGGTAGATTTATTCACAAGTATATGCAACTGTTTAGGCATAAGTTAAATCACTAAGTCAGAATAAGTACTGTCATATTAACAAAATGTTCTCCTTAATTTATCACATATATCAAGCTGAATTAGCAGCAGCAACACAGCTAAGTCCTTAATTTATTAAGCCCGTTGGGTAAAGGAAGAATAAAAAGTGGATACTTGAATTCCTTCTTGTCCAAAAAGCCATAAACTTTTAACCTGTTGATGCTGTCAAAAAGAGATTCCATGAGCCATAGATGGAAAAAAAAAAGAAAAGAAAGAAAAGATGCCATACTACACATGGTATGTACATACTAGAATTCTTCTTATCATCATGTATCTTCAAGCATATAAAGTGAAATTACCAATGACTGCACGCTTCAAAGTCAGAGTTTCACAAACGAATTGGGGATTTTTGGGGTTAGCTCATTCGAAGAAGGGATGATTCATGATTGTTCCATTTTTATTTACTTATTCTGAGAATAGTAGTAGCTAGTTTTTATTATGTGTAACATTTATATGAACCATGGCAACTCTATGTACAAACTGAGAATTATGCTTACAATCTCACTGACTGGGAGAAGGAATAATGCAAGTTGGTGGGCGCAGACAAAGAATCAGAGCCACCGAAAGCTATCTCATTCGAAAACTTTATAATTGGAAGAATCTTGGGTAATTGACCACACTTCAAGATTTTTTCTAACTTTTTAGTATTTTCATTAACAGAGCACTTTGTCCATGGAATCTACGAAAGTTGAACACATGGCCATTAGCCTTACACAACTGCGGTCACAAACTATTCAATCAACCACTTGATAATGTCAATTATTCATCCACAAGAGTAATGAAATATATATTTGTGCAGAAATTATCTTCCAACTTGTTGGCGTGTACGAAACACAAACATACCTATCATCAAAGATTCATAACTTTATTAGATTTTGGCATCCAAGTAAAAGCATGCCACCTTTTGAATGTTCTTTGTTTAGAGAAAGGAGTGTACCCTCTGTTGTTATTTATAAATAGAGTAACATGAGAACTCAAAGTTCAAGCAACATTTATCTCCCAACTCATTTACCTCTTTCCCATATTTCCCTCTCCCATATCGATCCGCCTTTTTATTTTTATTTTTTATAATTACAATCAGACTCACTTTTAAAAGTAACTTTGTGACCATCTTGAGTTTGAAAGTCTCAAGATGGAAAAAGTGACAAGATTGACCTCAGAGAATGGAGTTGTGGTTTTCAGCAAGAGCACTTGTTGCTTGTGCTATGCTGTCAACATTCTGTTTCAGGAACTTGGGGTTGCACCAGTTGTTTATGAGATTGATCAAGACCCTGAAGGAAGGGAAATGGAGAAGGCTATCATGAGGCTGGGCTGCAATGCGCCTGTGCCAGCAGTGTTCATTAGTGGCAAGTTGATCGGATCTACCAACGAAGTCATGTCCCTCCACCTAAGCGGTTCTCTGATTCCGCTGCTGAAGCCATATCAAGCTCGATCTTAATTCAAGAATTTGGTTTCTCTCCAGTATACTGGACTATCCGTCCAAAAGCTATGAGAGGCGTTGTGGCGCCCACACTGCCCGCTTCTATGGGGCACATAGCCCCTCTCACAGTTTTTGTACTGGACAGCCTCATAACTAGAGAGAAGCCTGGTTCTAATTCTACTGCTATGAAAAACATGGCAATCTAGCTAGTACAACCTTTGAATAAGCTTGGCCAGGCCAACACTAGTAGTTGGCTCTCTAATATTCAGTAGTCTATGTAGCTATTTTATGTATTGATGAATAGCTTTGGTAGATAGCTTGAGCTTGTAGACTCTTTGCTGGGCAAAAAAAATAGGAAAGAATGTAGTCTACTTACAACTTTCCTTAATTAATGAAGTTAATAGCCTTATTTATAATTTTACTTGTTTCCCATGTGCTTGATATTGATCATGAGGTGAATTACAGTTATTTCAGTTATGTAATTGTCACCCCGAGATATTGAATAATGTTTATTTGACAATTGTATAAATTATCAGTACACAGAATATATTGAAATGCTAATCTTCTATCACAGGAACAGATGATCAGTAACCTTTATGCTGTGTTTGGTTGGGGGATTTGGGGAGGGATTTGGAAAGGGAAATGGAAAAGGTAGGTGAAATATAAATAAAATATGTATATATTTCACATAGTTTCACACACCTTTTCCCTTTCCCTTTCCAATTCCCTTCCCAAATCCCCCAACCAAACACACCATTAACATCATTCTTTTTCCATAGTATCGGTTTTTATGAATGTTAATTTAAAGCTTTTAATGTGAGTAGAAAAACAAAACTCGAAATCAAACAAGCATGAAAACAGACGCAAATTTGAGTTCATGTACATGAAAACATGATGATATATGGAAGTGTGTTTTTTGACATGATGGAGATGTAGTCAAGATCTTTCACTTCTGCCAGAATTTGGTCCGTCCATTTTCAAAAAGTTGGAGAAGAAAATGCGCCACTTTCCTTTATACATATATGAGATCCCATCAATTCTTCAACTTTAGTTTAGATAAAGAAAGGTATTAAATTCGTCAACTATATATTATATTTTCAAAAGTATGTTCAAGCTTGTGACAATCTCCAACCCTTCATTGTTTCTTTAAAATTTTCTAATCACAAACTCAATATAATCTTGCTTTCTGTCAAACTTCAACCTGTAAAGGAGAAAAAGGGAAGTTCCAAGTCTGCAGCTAACAAGATTACAGGCAAATTTCAACTTGAAAAGATGATTTTAGAAATGAGAATTACTCCAAGTTAGCCATGTGTGTACAACATTGCAATTTGCTTTTACTACTGATTGTTTCCTTGGCAGTCCACAAGTACTGTAAATCAAAAACAATAGCAGCCATAGGAATAGATGCAGCACATTATTTTGAAAAAGTTGAAAGAAAATATGATAAGTGGATTCCTCTATTTGTGAAGGAGAAAAGGAGATGCACATGCATTTCCTATACAGGAGGAGGAAAAAAAGGAGGAGGAAGATTTGGAGGTGGATTTGGTGTGACAGGGAATCTCAATACCCAAGTTTAGTTCTTATATATAGTCACAAGGAATAATTATCAGAGAATATTAACAACTGTTCAATGAAATATGGTTAATTTGACATATATGTAAACAAAAAAAATAAATAAATAAAAAAATTTAAAACAAGTATAGAGATATTTGAAAGTGTGTGAAAATATATAAAATTTGTATTGGGTTATAACTTCATTTTTTATTAAAATATTTCACTTTTAACTACTGTTCGGGACCATATTTATTTGGTAATTCTAAATCACTGAATAATTTTCATAATTAAAACCATTTCAACTTATAATTACTTTACATCACAATTAAAATATTTTTTTGAAATCATCTTTATTTATTTATTTTTTAACAAATACCTTTAGTAGAAGAGGTTAAATGAGTCTTAACAAATCATCAAGAGATGATGGAGGGCTGAGGAAGGGTGTTAAGAAAACTAGTGAGGTGGGGTCAGATTTGACAAGAGGATAATGTTGAAGTGTTTTTAGGGAAAAAAAAAAAAAAATTAAAGTCTATTAAGGGCAAAAACTAAAATTTGGCAAGGATTATTAACAGCCAAACAGATTAATTAATTAAAAAGATTATTTAAATTATATTAATTAATTAAAAAAATTATTTATTTATATTGCTAAACTGATTAATTTTCTCGTAATTTTAACGCTTTATTAACAGTAAACAGATTTGAAAAAAGAAAAAAAAAAAAACGAAATAGGTGCGAAACAAGCAAAAAAACAACACCGAGCCACTCGCTCTCTCTCTCGTCTTTGCGTTCAATTCGAACCCTAGGCACATTGAATCAATCATTCGAAATCTCTCTCGGATCTTCAATCAATGGCGTCTTGATCTGGTAATCAATATCGTGCTCTTTATTTCTTTCTTGATTTTTCACATGTTTGGTTGCTGAGAAAACTGATGAGAAATAAATGTAAAAATGAAAGAATCGTTCTAATTGTGATCAACTCATCGTTGAAGAAGGCAAGTGCGGTGTCAGACTCACTTCGGGTCTCGACTCATAATGAATTTGACATTCGAAATCTTGATTCCTTTTCTTTCTTTTGTTTCTCAGCAACCAAACTGAACGCTAGGGTTTGTTTCATTTGTCTCCAATCGTGTGTTTGTTTGGGAAAGATCGTTGGAGTACTGTCACGATTTGAGATAATCTGAGTGTGCGCTTATGAGTTTTTATCATCGCTTTGAATCGGAGGGATGCTAGGGAAATTTGAATGTTCTTCTGGCTTCATGGTTCTGATTTTTGATGCTTAATTTCGGTGTTGTGTTGCAGAGACGTCTTACGGGATAGTATTTTGGGGGGAGCTAGTGGATCATATGAGGTGCTTACTCGGTTCTGTAAGTGTTGATTCAAATGTACAGTTGTTGCATTTTCTTACTGGTGACGAATTTTTTGGCGGATTGATCAAGGTTAGTGCCTTGGTGGATTGAACAGGATGCATTTCTTCGGTCCCCTGGTTTCTTCTTCTTTTTTGTTTTTTTTTCGGTTGATGCTCCCTTTGGTTGGTTATTGATTACAAGAAAGGCAAAGAATGATTTGCAATTTCTACAAACACCCATTGTTAATCCCAATCAGTAAAAGAAATGTAATGGAAAATTCTATTTTTCCACAATCACTAGAAATTAATGATGTGGCGATGACATTTTTGATAGTCAAAACCATCTTATGGTTTTTTGTTTTTTTAGGTGATAGGACCGCAATTCTGCCCCATCATCATATGCATTTTTTTTTTAATTGTATTTTCTATTTGTGTATTATGACTAACTTTTGCAAGTTAAGTTATTTTTTGACAAACCTTTTGTAGCAATATAAGATCTGAAATTGCTATTTGTATGGTTTCCAATTAACCAGACACAGTGAAGTGAAAATATTGGTTTCATTTGACACTTGGGCAGGTATATAGGCTGGGACTGAGTTCTTTCATTGGAAGTGTTGTCAATTTGTTGCATTGCATTGCATTGGTGAAGGAGGGGAAGAGCTATCATGGCTCAAGGAGGGGAGCACATCGAACTTAAATTTAGGATCTATGATGGAACAGATATAGCTCATAGCACCTATGCACCATCTACTACTGTTGCTACTCTTAAGCAAAGGCTTGTTGCTGAGTGGCCTCAAGGTTTGGTTTTTTTACATGTATATGTTTCTTACTTTCAGCCATTTTATTGCATCACGTGCTACAGATTATGCTCAATGTGATTTCAATTTCAGTGTTTTGAATCATTTAACCGGCCAGTCTGGTTTGAATAGCTCTAGTACTTCTTATAAACCAAACCAAACCAAACCAAACCAAACTAAGCCTTAAGTCCCATCAAATGGGTTTGGCTGTATGAATCCTTCTTCTCCACTCGATTCTATCCAAGACCATTTCGTTAGTCAAATTAAGGAGATTCATATCTTAATTTACTACACTAGTTCACGTCAATCCAGGTCTAACTCTTCCCCTAGCATTGCTATTTACTGTCACTGTATCGCATCTTTTCACCACTGCCTTTGTTGGTCTCCATTCTATATGACTAAACGATCTCAATCTATTCTCTCTAAACTTATCTTCTATTGGTACTATTCCTACTCATTCTTGAATATACTCATTCCTAATTCTGTCTTTTCTAGTCTTATCACACATCTACTTTAGTATTCTCATCTCAGCAACAATCATTTTATTTACATGCCGTTTCTTAATTATTTAACATTCCGTCCTATACAACATCGCTGGTCTAATAGTATCTATAGAACTTCCATTTTAAGGTTGGTTTGGCATAAACTAAATAATACAAAAAGTCAAAAAGTCACTATCCTATTTAAGTCACATCATCTTATTTAAATCACATCACCTCTCTAACACATCACATCAAACCCAACCCAAACCCAACCCATATAAGCCAATAAGTCAAAAAGTGCACTTTTTTAGAACATCCCAAACCAACCCTTAGTCTAATGGGTACTCGTTTATCGCACAGTACTATAGACGGATTCTTCCACTTAAGCCACCCTGCCTTAATTTTGTGGACCACATCCGCTCCAATCTCCCCTTCAATCTAAATAATGAAAATGTTCACTCTTAAGTAGTTTTTAGTTCTTAATCTTCACTTTTCATTTGCTTCCATTGTGACTGTTTCTAAAATTACACTCTATATCTCTGTTATCAGAATTTTACGATTCACAATTCAATTCACGATTCTATTCATGATTTTTGCAAAATCGATACGAATCTATGGGTGAATCTCTCTGTTATCAGAATTTTACGATTCGCGATTCGATTCAAATTTTTTGCAAAATCGATACGAATCTATAGGTGAATCTATTTTGGAAGTAAATCTCTAGTGAATTGCACGATTCACAATCAATTCACGATTCAATTTACTTTTTGCGATTCATGTAATTTTTTAAATTATTGTGTCCGACATATTTTCAACTATTTATTTTTTCATGTTTTTAGTGAAAATGACATAATACAACTTCTAATAGCGTTTAATACTAAAATAACCAACATATATATATATATATATATAATTTGTTATTATTTTAGTGACCATGAAGTTTTTAATAGAATCCAATCAGATTCAGTCAGACCTAATATATTTTTAACCTTTCTTCTCATTTTTTTCTCCTTTAAAAAATCATAATATATCTTCTAAAGATGTTTAAGATTAAAGTTACACTATAAATTATCTATTGCTATTTTATTAAATTGAATACAATTGAATATTACATATGTGAGGTCAGTTATACCTTTGAAAATGTTTTAGGCTTTAAAATAAAATATTCTAAATAATTCTTTCTTATTATGTGTTCACTGTTACTTAGAAAAATATGTATGCTTATTGTCCAAATATCAATATTGTTGTTAATTATTGTTATTTTAAAAATTGATAATTTGTCTATTTGGTTATTATCTTTATTAAGAATGGTTGATAGGAAATATCTAAAAAGAAAAAAAGTAAGATAGTGATCTTACATAAGAATCTTTGTTAACTTATTACCTATTAAACTATGTGATTATCACTTAAAATAACATTTTCATTGATTTAAATTTAAATATTTCATATTTATAAGATATATTTAACATCTAAATGTGTAAATATATATTTTAAAGTAATTTTTAAAAAGCGACCGAATCTTTACGATTCACGATTCGATTTGATTCGCGATTCGGTACAAGGTCATTTCGATTCACGATACGAATCTTGATTTGACAACTATGCTCTATATACTATGTCTTAGTTCTACTTATTCTAAATCTTTTAGATTCAAGTACTTTTCTTAAAATTTTCAACTTAGTGTTAACTCCTTCTCTAGTCTTATCCAATAAAACGATATCATTTGCAAAAAGCATACACCATGGCACATCATCCTGAATATTGCGCGTCAACTCATTCATAGCTAAAGCAAAAAGATAAGGACTTAAGGTTGATCCTTGGTGTAACCCTACATAAATTGAAAATTCACTCATCTCTCCAGCATGTGATCTAATTATGGTCACCACACCTTCATACATATCCCTAAACACATCAATGTAACCTTTTGTCAATCTTTTTTCTCTAATACCCACCAGATTATATCTCAAGGCACTCTATCATATACTTTCTCAAGATCGATAAAAATTATATGAATGTCTCTTTTCTTGTCTCTTCTTTATATTTTTCTATTACTCTCCTGAAAAGATAGATGGCTTCCATTGTTGACCTATTAGGCATAAACCCAAACTGATTCTCTGACACCTCTGTTATATCTCGCAATCGACGTTCCATCATTTTCTCCCACACTTTCATTTTGTGTCACATTAGCTTGATTCTTCTATAGTTGTTGCAATTCTGGACATCTCCTTTATTCTTATATATTGGTACTAAAATACTCTTCCTCTACTCTGGCATTTTCATAGTTAACAAAATCTTGCTAAATAACCTAGCCAACCAAACAACCCCCTTCTTACCCAAACATTTTCACGCTTTAATAGGTATATCATCGGGTCCTAAAGCCTTATTCAATTTCATCTTATTAAGTGCAAACTCCACTTCAAAGTTCCTAATCTTACTATAGAACCTATAGTCATGGTTTTCATTATTACTGTCTACTTCCTCGCCTTTTGACCTACCTCCATGTTTCTCATTTAACAACTTCTCAAAATAGTTTTTTCACCTCTCCTTAATCTCTTCATCTTTCACCAACGCCTCAAAGTTCTCACCCTTGATGCACTTAATCTGATTAACATCTCTGAGTTTCATCTCTCTTAGCTTAACAAGTTTGTATATCCTCTTCTTTCCCTCCTCACTATCTAGGCTAGTGTATAGGCCATCATAAGCTTTTAACTTAGTCTCTCTCACTACTTTTTTGACCTCCTTATTGGTCAATCTATAGCGCTTAAGGTTTTCCTCGGTTTGCCACTTTTTAAAGGTCTCTTTTTTCATCTTTATTACCGCTTAGATTTCTTCCCTCCACCACCAAGTTTCCCTAAAGTTGGATCCCTTTCCTTTCCCTTGAGATTCTCCTCATACAGTTGGCCATCGAGTTCCACATAATGTTAGTATCATTTTTCAAGTTTCAAGTACCTTCTTTATCCATTTTGTTCTTGAATGTGTCTAGTTTATCACATTTTAGGCCCCACCATCTAGTCCTGAGACACCACTATCTTTTCGAGTTTGTTATCGCCCATTAAAGCATAAATCTAGTACCAAAATCCTATGTTGAGACGTTAAGTTCTCTCCAGGAATCACCTTACAATCACTGCATTTTAGACAGTCTCATTGTTTTACTAGAAAGTAATCTATTTGACTCCTAATTGACTCACTCTTGAAGGTTATCAAATGTTCTTTTCTCTTCTTATACATAGTATTAGTCACCACTAGGTCAGAAGCTAATGCAAAATCTAAAATATTCTCTCTAGTCTCATTTCTATAACCAAAACCATACCCACCGTGCACCTTCTCATACCCTAATTTATCTACTCCTACATGGCCATTGAAATCACTACGTAAAATGAGGTTCTCTCCTACGAATATCTTCTGTAATACCTCATCCATTTGGTCCTAAAAAACTTTCTTAGTTTGATCATCTAATCCTACTTGGGGAGCTTATGCACTAATAATGTTCACTATATTCTCTCTAATAACTAGTTTACTTAACATAATCCTATTACCTTTCCTAATGATCGCAATTACATTTTCTACAAGATTCTTAGCAACTATTATTCCTACACCATTCCCGTGTTTATCCTTACTACTATAATATAGCTTAAAACTGGTATCCTCTATTTCTCGAGCTTTCTCAGCCATCCACTTAGTTTTTTGTACACAAACTATACTAACGCATCCTAATCATGACATCTACTAATTTCATAGTCTTATCAGTTGAAGTTCCTATATTACATATGGCTGCCCTAAATCTATAATTTTGGACTAGCTTCTTTATCCACGCTTGTTCGGGAAAATGGGAAAATCTTTGCCCCAGTTTTCACCGCGCCAACGCGTCGATGTAGCGATCCTTGCTCACTTTTTGAAACATCCAAAGGCAGGCGCAACGCGTCACTTAAGGGGAACGACCTAACATTTAATTTTTTCGGAGTATTAGGTTTCATGTCATAAAGGATATGAGCGGCTTTATTACGTGTTGGCTGTTGGCTATCTAACACACAACCCTCCTCCTTTATCCAGGCTTGGGATCGGCAGAGTTGTTAAGCAACCCCGGCGGAGTTCTAGTACTTCTTATAGATGTGTGTGTGTGTTTTTTTTTTGTTTTTGTTTTCATTGAGCTCCACACTAAACTATGTCATCCGCATTTTATTCTTAATTAATATGAGTTTTGATGCTGCAGATTTTGCATTACGATCCATTCTCTATGGGCCCACATGCTATTGGCATTAGATTGGTCTAGCAGTGGTTGATTGACAAAACAAAGTGCTGTTAACTTACATGGGCATTAAATTTTATATCAAATAAGAGCTGGTTTGGATGACCTTGTCCGAGCTCATTAATCATTTTCTTATTACAGTCACCTCATCTATATAATCAGATGAGACCTATGGAAAGATGGTACAAGACAGTATTATTGACATGAAAAATTTCTTACTTGTACATGAAATTGATCTTAAAAACTTAGAACACACAAATGACCTTGATATATGTATCTAACATAGTTGTCAAATCGGGATTCGTATCGTGAATCGAAATGGCCTCGTACCGAAACGCGAATCGAATCGAATCGTGAATCGTAAGGATTCGGTCACTTTTTTTTAAATTACTTAAAAACATATATCTACATATTTAAATGTTAAATATATCTTATGAATATAAAATATTTAGACTTAAATCAACAAAAATGTTATTTTGAAATTCGTATCGATTTTGCAAAAATTGTGTATCGAATCGCGAATCGAATCGCGAATCGTAAGATTCTGATAACAGAGGTATCTAATATGAAGCCTAGCCAAGGTTGTTAAGATCGGGATCCTATACAGGATCGTTTTGGGTGTCTATCGAATTGGATCGTAGGATCAGATCGAGGATCGTAAGATCCTACCAAAATGATAAAAAAACGCAATAATTTTTATATGGCTAAGTAATACTATCAAAATAAAATGATAAAAAAACGCAATAATTTTTATATGGCTAAGTAATACTATCAAAATATATATAGAATGACCCCCCCAAAATAAAAAATTATAGTAATTCAAGAAGCATTCAAGCATTTTTTCTCAAAAAACGAAGTCAAAAACATAATAAAAGAAAATTTTTCTCCAGCAATATTTTTCCTTTGCCGCCCTTTTCCTGAATCAGAGGTTGACATTGTGTTGTGATGCTACTATGCTAGCTATGTGCTTCAAATTGTGGAAATTAAAAGAAATTTTTTCAGCAAAGCTCAAGGAAAAATAACCAAAGGAGCAGCAGCAGCAGCAGTAGCAAAGAAGAACCAAGAAAAAAGAAGTAAAAAAAAAAACTCCCTTTTAGTTTAGTTTTAAAATCATGATTTGAGTGTAGAGTTGTGATTTAAGTGTGGAGTTATGAGTTGAGTTTTAAAAAAAGAAAATTTATTTGGTTATAAATTTTGAAATTTTTTGAAATTATTTTTTTAATATTTAAAAATGTTTACGAATTTTTTATTTTTATTTTTTTTTAATTTTAAATATTTTTTAATTTTTAATTTTTAAATATTTTATTTTTATTTTTATTTTTAATATTTTAAACTGAAGTTATGGTTTTAAGTCTTTCACTTTGACCAGGATAGCACATCTATTCATGCAAACATATATATATATATATAAGACTTGAAGAAGATGCATACCTAGTTACACAAAATCTAAAGCTTTGATATCCAATTTCACTTTCCCCTATTTCTCTTGCCCTAATCGCAGCTTCTTTTATCCCAATTTTTTGTTTGACTTGAAGTTGCCAAAAAAAAAACCCTATTAATCAGGATCGCATGGAATCACGATCCCGATACGATCCTTTCGATCCCAACGATCCTTCAACGATCCTATCATCGGCTCGATCCAGTATACGAGTCGGATCGAATGGTATATATTGGATCGTAAGATCGTACGATCCTACGATCCGGATCGCGATCTTAACAACCTTGAGCCTAGCCAATGAATTTGATCAGTATTCTTTCTTTAAAATGGTGCCATTTGGCAACATGAGGGGATTTTTTAAAAAAGTACAGTAACTGTGACAGATAATGGAAATAACAGATGATGAAACTACTTGGTGTTGTACAGAGCACTAGGATTGCCATTGTTCCCACTCCTTGCATAAGAAATGCCAATTGGTTTTTTGGTTCTGCTATGTGCAAAAATAATTAATAATTTGTGGATAGTGAAAATGAAAAAGAATTGGAAAATTTTGTTCTCAAATCAGTTAACCAACATGTAGCTGGGTAAACTGCTACATAGATTAATAGATTACCCTAATGGGAATCATGATTTGACTGAAGAGGAAAATTTGGAATCTGAAACCCTTTTTGAGTTTTAAATCTTTTAGTTTCTTTGTATTAGCGTATGATTGAACTGCAACATTTGTTTTCTTTCATAGCAGGTGTTTTCACTTTCCTTTTTGGTTTATGTACATCTTATGCTTTTGTAGAGTTTTGAGTTTGCCTTTTTTGTTTCTGTACATCTGATGCTTTTATAGAGTTTTCACACTTCTTTTTGGTTTTTGTTTTTTTTTTTGGTTTCTATCCCATTCATGAGTTTGTACTTTTGGGCTTATAGGTTTATAATAAGAAAATTAGGAATGTTTATTTTGGTTGCTTCTATAGTTGAGGAGTCATTTTAATCCTTCATTGATCACGTAAATGTGTTTATCCTTGGATTGTTCAAGATGATCGCTCATTTGCCCACTTAAATAAATATGCTGAAGAATAGAAAAACCTAGATGAAATGGGTTTAAAAAAGTTGCTCATGAAAGTTGGACATAAATCTCCATATTTCTAAACTTCAACTCAAGTTATCTTTCTATTTATTCCGTTTCTTTCTCATGCATTTTAGGAAGACGTTTGTAGTCCAGGTAAAAGCTGTCAATTGGCAGAGGTTTACCAATTGAAACCCACTTCGTTTAGACCGTCTCTCTTGGCATGCATGTGGGTGGGTGGCAGGGGGAAGGGGCCTAAGAAAAATGTCTTCCTTCTGGGAGGTGTAACCCGCCCATAAAGCTCACACCAGACTGATAAAAGTTTGTTTCCATTTTATTAGACAAGAAAATAGTTAGTTAGAATAAAGTATGAACAATCTTTAGTTTGAGTGTTATTTGATTTACCTTGCGATACTTATCGGATAATATTGATGTTTTGGCAAAATTTTAAAATTATAAAGTGCCATTGGAGTTAGTGTCTTGTAACATGGAAGTGCAGTATTGTATGAGTTTTTAGGTTCTACAATGTATTCAACGCATAATCTTTGGGGAAGAGGAAGGAAAATTTTGATTATAACCTGAGAAGGTTGAAATTTGATCTATTGCGTTATTGATCTTTGATTTCATTTTGTTTTTTTCTTCTCTCCTTTTTTTTTTCCTATTCTTTTGTATTGGAGAAGAATTTCCATTCAATTTATAGATTGTAATTCTTTCTATCTCTTCCATGGGTGTATATGTTGCTGGACCTTATGATTCTTGCTTTATTTGGACATCTTTCCAAGGACATCCGTTGATGAACTCATTGAACTGTTTTACAAATCACATCCATGGACTTCCGTTAGCAAGTAATGCATTCGTTTGTGAAATGTTTATACACTCTATGCATATGCATGTCCGAGTGTGGGTGCATCACATGTTCACAGGCATGTTAACTCGTTTTTGACACCCACTTTGTATTTTTGACTTTTGATGCTAAATGGTTCAGTTCTAAAGTGGCCTTCTGTTTAACAGATAAATCAGTTGTACCCAAGTCAGTAAGTGATATAAAACTCATACATGCTGGCAAAGTTTTGGAGAATGGCAAGACGCTGGCAGAATCCAGAGTACATTTTGGTGACCTTCCTGGTGGCGTTAGTACTATGCATGTTGTGGTGCAGCCTCCTGTCCCAAAAAAGAAGACAGGTTTGCTTTAGTTTCTTTTCCCTGAGATTTATATATATATATTTCATGTAGAATTTTAGATTTAAGAAAATTTTCAGGGTTAATTCTATCAAGTTTTGACTTTCGAGAGTATAGCAGCAAGAAATGCCTCTTTATTTTGGGTATCCTATTTCTATCATTTACAGGTGCAGACTCAGGGGTATTGGACAGCTTATAGGCATAACATAACTGTGAAGTTGCTAGTAGTTTTTAGTGAGGGACCTTAGTGAGAACTAGTACCTGGTTTCAATTATTGGACAGCTTTACCCTGAGAATTAGCATGAATTAATTTTCAATCTAATATAAAGTTATCAGATAATATTTAATTGGACAAATTACACTAACAGTCCCTATAGTTTAGGGCTTCTGTCACTTTAGTCCTTAACTTTTCAATTATGACACATTTGACCCTGAATTTTGAATCTTGTTTCAAATAAGGACAATTAACATACAATTGCTTAATTTCAAGGGCAAAATCGTCAGTTTGATAAAATATAAACTAATTTGACAAAAATAAAATTATGTAAAATTAATAAAAATTACATGATTAATTTTAAAAAATTAATTTTACATGATCATCATCCAAATACATAATAAAAATTAATTTGGTAAAAAAAAAGAAATAAATGTCTAAAAGATTTATCGATTTTATATAATTTTATCTTTAGTAGGTAGAAATAATTTTTAAAAATTCAAAAATAATTTTTTAACATTTATTTTTGTCAAATTAATTTATATTTTATCAAATTAACAATTTTGTCCTTGAAAAATCCAATAGTATATTCAATTGTCCTTATTTGGAATAAGATTCAAAATTTAAGTTCAAATGTGTCATAATTGAAAAGTCAAGGATCAAAATGATACAAGTTTCAAACTATAGGGACCGTTAGTGTAATTCACCCCATTTAATTCTTTTAAGGATCTTCATTTTGGAACCCATACTTCAAAGATGATAAACATGCATGCATTACTCAATCTAATGACTTCCAATTTTCGTCATATTCTTTATATTATCTCTTCTAATTAGACTTGTTAGGATAGAAATACTAATCTCATAGAATAGTTATGTTATGCCTATAAGCATGGATCAAGAAGTTTGTTACATTAAGATGCTGCTAACTATTTGTTTTTACACGAGTGTCAATGTAACTTGTGACCCTCTGGCATGACTAACTAAGCATTTATCTTTACTATCCTAATGAGTCTATTTATGTGCTCAGAGATTTCTAGAGGTAGAGTTTTCAATGGCTTTAACAGAACAGAGTATTGTTACCATTTAATTTACGAAGCTTGTAATTGTGAAACCGTCTGGAGTAGTGCAAGGAAATACATGTAGCCTATGAATTTTTGAGTCAATTGTCTCCTGCATTGTAGTGAAATCTTTTAATTTTGAAAATGGATTTTACTATATGTCTACTCATTGTATTGTCACAATTGTTACTTTTTTTGTTTGAAGTATCTGTTTCTATGGCAACCATTAGAGTTTCTAAAATTTGCCATTACAATATTAATTTTTCTGCTCTCATTTTGGGTACACAATGCAGACAAGAACCAGGAGAAGAATCATAAGCAGAATTCATGCTCATGCGCTATCCTTTGAATTGGGAAAGCATGCTTTGTGGCTGTCGTGCAGACAGGACAACGTTTCACATTTTTGACCTTCCTTTTATATTGTCATTGCTGTGTAACATTCTAAATGGCATCTATGATTTAGCAGGTTACATTACATGTGATATTGCTTCTGCAATTGATAACGTTGTATTCTTTTTTCTATACGTAAGATCAAAATTTCTACCGTTCAGTATTCTCTTTCCTATTAGGAGTGGTAGGGCCAAGAGTTCTCTTCCTTTGTGGCATGGTAATGTCGTTCATATGTGTGGATCCCATTCTCTTTCCTAGCTCAGGGCTTATTCCCTCCAAATTGTGCCACCGGGTCCAAATCTCTCTGTATTAAGTAGTTGAAAGCTTGCTTAATGTGTTTTACAAATTTTTATTGGTCAATTATACCACATGTGTGGATCCCATTCTCTTTCCTAGCTCACGGCTTATTCCCTCCAAATTGTGCCACCGGGTCCAAATCTCTCTTTATTAAGTAGTTGAAAGCTTGCTTAATGTGTTTTACAAATTTTTATTGGTCAAGTATACCACAGATTATGTCAAATAATTTTTCAAGATTGTCAATTTTATTTTGAAATCGAGAATGATATGCTAGTATGAGGAAGAATGCCTAGATACATGTTATAAACTGGCCTAATCACATGGCCAGTATAGAGTGAAAGGGTGTGTTGTTATCTTACACAAGTAATTCAACTCTTCAAAAAAATAATAACAATAATAATAATAATTCAACTGTAAAGAATATTTTAAACAAATCTTAAATTCGGACATTCTTAAAACAAGATTAGTAAGCCAAAAACGAGTCAATGTCTTCTTGGTTGAATGCACTACCGAATCCCATCATCATACCCGATGATGGTTCTAGTGCATTAGCCAAAAACATGTCAATGTCTAAGTCGAATGTTCTTCCGAATCCCATCATCATATTCATATCCATTGACGGTTGAGGTGCATTGCTAACAGGTGGTGTTGATGATGATGGCAATTGTGCCATTATTGATTCGGTACCAGTATGTGCATGCTCCTCCGCTTGATATGTTCCGCTTGTTGAGCCAATAATCATACGGTTATTTTCTTGTGATATTGGTGGACCTTCTTTCATTTCTTGATATGATGCTAATTGGGCCGTTGCTGATCCAATATCGGCATATGCTCTGTTGGCTAGATGTTCCTCCACTTGATATGCGTCACTAAATGTATTGTTAATTTCTTGAGAACTTGGTACTACCATTGTTGGACCTCCTTCTAGTTGTTGGGGTGCTGGCAACATTGCCATTGTTGATACCATTGCTGATCCAATATCCACGTATGCTCTGTTGTCTAGATACTCCACCACTTGATATGCTCTACTTGTTGACCTAATAGTCGTATTATTAATTTCTTTTGATATTGGTGGACCTCCTTCCATTTCTTCTTGTTCTGGCATTCGCAACATTACTTGACCCTCTTCCCTGATTCGATTTTTGCTAATTGCATTTTTTGTGACGCGACAAATAACATAATCTATGACCTGCACAGAATGAACAATTGATTTAAATCGATATTCAATTTATATAATTTTTTTTTTAAGAAAACAAAATTAGAAACTAAATTTGATTGAACTAATCTAACCAAATTCTTATTTACATTTTTTGCAGAAATTAGAAAGTGCAAGTGTTGTTTAACTTGACTCCAATTGAGTGTTTAATTAAACTTGGTTAAATTAATAGGTCATGTAGTTGTATATTTTTAACACCATGCATGATACCAATTAATATAAACATAAATGATACATCGCAATCATAAAGATGGCAATTCACACATATGCTTAGCACGGGAATTTAATCAATACATTTGGAAAATTTACACAAATAATAAAAACAAGTCAAGAAGATGACCAAAAGTTAGATTAAAGAAAAAAAGAATTTAAATCAAAATGGGACATCCAATAGAAAAGTCTCTTGAGCTTAATAAGTCTAGTTAAACTACAACCCTCATTCCCCCTACGAACTGTCAACGGCCATCCACCATTATCACAATACGTTTCTGCAAATCCATTGAAGTAATATACCCATATCTTCATTTATCCAAATCTCTTTATCTCATTCTCTTGAAAAATTCACAATTGTTAGATTGTATTTCAAAATTTTTGTTCCTATTTGATAGTTGTGAGTGTTTTGACACAAAAAAAAAAGAAAAGAAAAGAAAAAAGAATATATTTGACGCACAATTTTTAATTCATCCTTAGGTTACAAAATTGAGAGATAATTGTCGTTTCTTCATGTTTAACAACTAAGGCAGGACTCCACCGAGATCCACCAACACTATTACAACCGATCGAAACATAAACAACAAATAAAAAAACACAACCGAATAAAATAAAATTGAAACCAACAAAGTCATATAAATCTTTACAATATATATTACGTAGTGCATGCATGCATATTAGGGTTAGAGGAAAAAAAATAATTACCTTTCCAAGTTTGAGTGCATGTTTCTCTGCTATGCCATCTAGATTGTATTCTACCATATTCCATCCTCCTTTGGTCTTAGAATTTGTCAAGTATACGAAGTTTTTCTTAGACCCTATCAGTCTCCGATTGCCATCATATATAGACTTGCTTGCATCGACGCCTTTCCACGTTCCTGTCCCAGCCGTTCGATCAACCCGGGCACCCTTTTTAGTCTTCTTCTTCAATATAGTAAAAATATAATGAATATTCGCTTCTGCTCCATCAAATATCGTCGAAGGCTCTTTTTCGCCGTAAAGGTCATAGTCCTTAATCACATTGTCACAAGGCAAAGGTCTTGCGGTCGATTTTTGGAGAAGATAATGAATTAACTCTTGATCAGACGGAAAAAACTTAAAGCCGAGTGGGATTGTCATGATGAGTTCTATCACCTTTTCTTTCTCTTCTTGGACAATGAATTGGTGAGGGAAATAGAATTTTACGTATGAAGAGAGTAGTGAGAAGGAATGGTAATACAATTGTCTGTATATATATAGTTAATGTGTACTTCCCAAACAACCTATTTGACTTCATGTAGGAATAGAATTCGTGTGAATGGATAAACAGTGTGAATTGATGAGGTAACATTATAAATCATATAAGAATTCTTGTCTAAGTTATTATTTTTTTTAAAGATAAATTGAATAAGTTATGGATTATTCGATTAACTTAATTTTGTGTAAATAATATGCACAAATGATCTAATAAATGAACGGTTTAAATAATTGAAACGAAACTATCAATCTTCAGAGTTTTAGAAGTTAACAGCTGATTGGGTTGAATAATGCGGTAAAATTATAAATCCCATAATTTGGTTTATGAATATTTATGTAAGTTTTTCATATAATAAATTGATGGTCATACTATAATACACATGATATGTATTACATAAATGGTTAAAATTAGACAATATAAATTGATTATTTTGGGAAGGCCAAAAATTTCTTCCAATAATTTTATGATTTTGTAATGGGAAATTATTAAATATTTCCGAAGTACCACGTGTTTGTACTTCCTAACCAATTATCTCTCAATATATCCCCTCACATTCCTCAATCACCCAATACAATACCCCACCTATTTACCTTCTCCACCAATCATAATATTATAAAATACCATATGTCCATGCTCTACTGAATAATTATACATTTGTAATGTATGTTGAGTCTACTTCAACATTTTATGTTGTGTATGAATTTATTTATGTAATATAACATTTTTTCTATAAAAATATATATATATATATATATAACCAATCTAATATTTTTCATTAATAATATATACTGAGCATTACTTACCCAAAAATATATACTCATGAGCACTTTAAAAAACTCACGATAGACCTTACAAACCCTTGATTGTTGAATTTGTTTGATTTTGAAAGTCAGCCTTCTCTATGGCTTACTAAAAATTATTTTATGATCAATTGTTACTGATTATTATCGGTTAAAAAGTAAGACTTTAGTACTTTTAGTTTAATTTTTGAGTGACAATATGGCCAGTGTCATTTATTTCTTAAAGACACAGGGTTGTGGGAGCCAATCTAAGACAGACACATCAACTATGTGGGCCAACAATGCATAATTAAATATACAAAAACCTGGTGACATTGTGTTATAAAATATGAGAGCTCAAGGGTTTGATGATACTCATCAACAACTCATTAATATTAATTATAGACTTTGATTGACAATATTGTTGTACGTGCATTTCATGACATCTGTTACATACATCAATGGTACTCAACCAACCAAAAATTCATCACAATCTTTTTTCTTTTTTTTTTCCTTGTAAATTATACTGATTTTTCTTAGAATTTGAAATTTTTTTTTTATACAATTTACAAATTCAAATAATTAAAGTAACTCCTTTTTTTATTTTATTTTTTTTGGGGTGTTTTGGAAAGTTGGTAAAAAGCTGACTTTTGGCTTTTTACCAAGTTTTTTGGCTTTTTTGGAGGTGATTTGGGAAGTTAGTAAAAAGATGACTTTTTTGATTTTTGATTTAATATTTATTTATGGTATCAAATAAAAATAAAATGACCAACATACCCTTGCCAAACTTTAGAATTTTAAGTAATTTGTTAACATGGAGGGTATTTAGGTAATTTCACAACGTAACTTTTTTGTCACTTCCCAAATGCAAGTCCCGGCGTTTTCGACTGCTGGCGTTTTTCTTCACAAGCTAAAAACGTGGCGTTTTTGATGTCTTCCCAAAATGGCACTCATTACCCATACTTTGGGTGTTAGGGAGATCAAACCAAAATGGGCCACCTATGGGAATTACAAATGGGCCTAATCAGCTAGTAAAACCCAAATCCACGTTTGGGCTTCTCTATCCTTAAAAAACCACTCCAAATGGATTTGAGCCTTAAACTTCATAATTGTGTACCTGGTTTAAGCAAGGAGAAAATTAGACCCTGTTTATTTCACTGGATATAAAATGAAAGATATAATATGATGTAAAATTTAATCAAAATATATAATGAATAGGATATATGTATTGTATAATATATCTCCCAATACATATTTGGTAACTTTTATATAAAACTGGATATATATTATGTATATTTGTTTTACAGAATATATCATGGGATATAAACAAATAATTTTCAAGATTGCCCTCATAATATATTTTAAATACCCATATTGGAACTAATGCAAACAAACAAATTCAAAATTCAAAACTAATGCAAATAAATAAATTAAAAATTCATATTATTTTTTATAATTAAAGATTCATATTAAATTCAATAATTTTTCCAAACAAAAAAGAAATTATATTATATTAATGTTAATCTGATAATAATAAAAAAATTATATTATATTAAATTCAAAAAATTAGATAGACTAGAGGGTAAATTGGACATTTTAAATCATATCCCAACCTAGGGGATATGATATAATGGGGATGGTGGTATTGTATATCCTCCAATTTTGAAAGATATACAATCCCATTGTATATTATATCCTCTTCAAAAAAACAATTGCAAACATGGGATAAATGAACCCCACAACATATAATATCTAATCCCATCATTTATGTTCTGAAATCAAACAGGGCCTTAGTGATCCCTTCCCTCTAGTATTTCTCATATAATTTTTTGTCACAGTGGCATCAAGCACCCACAATCCATGGAAATAGTTCATTTCATATACATCAATTCAGTTCTGAAATTAACTTTATAATTTCTGACATAAAACCCCCCCTACAAATCAACCCAAAATTAATTCCAAAACACAAAAATTCCAGGTTTTGCTCAAGCCCACAAAGAGAGGGAGTCGATCATCAAGTGGTTCATCATCTCTTTTTTCTGCAGGGAGTAGCTCAGTCTGGAATAATTCTTCGCAGTTAAATTCTGAAAGATTTGCTTGGGAAAAGGTTTTGATACCTTCCTCTAAGAAGAATTTTTCTTGGATTGGAGAGTAGAGAGGATCTTCTCAGATCTTTGATTTGGTCCCATCTGAAACATAATCTCTCGTGAGCAGAAGAACAAACACAAGTATTGAAACTGTTCGACCGTAAAATTATGAAAAAATAACTAAAATTCTAAAATCACATCTCAAATTGTGTAATCATAACAAAGAAAGAAAAATAAATAAACAAATTAAGTTGAAAATATATAGAAGTTGGAAGAAAAATCACAATAAATATATATATATATATATATATATAAATCCTTATGAAAAAAAAAAAGCAAGATATCGGATAGGTTTGGTATTCTACAATCTAAATTCTACAACTACTTATGCGAATCATGGTTCACTTATAATATTATAATATACTAGTATAAAAAAGGCCCATGCAAGGAATGGGTCAAATGTTGAAATGAAAAGGTTGTGGAAAAAAATGTAAATTAATTAGATTATTTAAATTGATCACTTGTATACTCTTTTTTATTAGAAGCATAAACGACCTACCATTTTACAAATTTTAGGGCCAAAAAGGTAAATTTATTGTTCTCAAAACACAATACTCAAGTGATGTTTCTGCATTTTGATAATTCTTTTTTAGGTCATTTATACTAACCATCCATGCCTTTCTGCAAACTATTAATTTAGAGTGGTTAGAAAATATGATAAAATGTCAACTTATGTTGAAAAAATTGCCATCAAGTGCGTAGAGAATCTAAAAGAATTGATGACAAGTATGGAATACTTTACTGAGTAGATTCCATCAACATTGTAAATGATCATGAACATAGTTTAGGTCACACTTCAAATAGTATAGCAATTACAATGCTCAAGTGAGATTCATTTGAGAATGGAGGTTTGAGACTTGTTACAAGAAGCTTCTAAATATATCAAGCATCAATGTAAAGAAAATATTTTAATACATAAGAAACTACATGCCTTTTAGGAGAAATTTTTGTATGCGGACAGGATACATGCCATGTGGTACATTCTATTATTGTAATTGGCTTTGACAGTAGGGTCCACTATATTTATGTTGAGTGTTTGAGGAACAATAGTGGACATATACATTTGTGATTAGTGAAAGGTAGAACCACATGGTACCTTATTGACATATAAAAATTTCTTGCATTTTAGATTGCACAAGATGCAACCGCTACGCATTTAGTAATGCACAAGAAGTTTGCTCCAGAAGCCTCCGGACCAACTGAAATATGGGTGAGAAGCCATCTAAGGAGAAGCTTATTAAAAAGAAAATAGGCCATCCAAGAATCAAACACTATGGTCATTTTCCCTTTTTAGACGCTTTCTCTTCTCTTCTTACCCAGGGAGGGAGTTCAGAACAGGACAGAAACTCCAAAGATATTATTGGATTCTAAGGATATCATTTCATCAAAGGTTGGACACACAGAAACTATCTTTAAAAAATAAGAGCTAATATTCACAAATTAGTAATAAGGAATTTCAATATCCTTCTCTAAAGAGTTGGTAGTTTTGCTTTTAGGTATCTGCATGATGCAAACTAACATATGTTCCAACTTCCAGAAAATAAGCAATTAAATGAAGCTATCAAACTTCAAGCAAGCAAGTACGGAAGAGCTAATTTGATACAAGGTGCTCAATGGCAACACCTCCTAAAAGACCTATTGGAAAAAATCTATCTTTAACCTAGACTTCAGATATAATATCATAAGGAATCAGGTTACTGCTTAGCAGTAGTTCCTCCTTTGACCAAATTGAACCCTCTTCCATAATGAACAGAATCACCACCTTTTGCAACAACAGCTTCTATCAGTTTTCCAATGACAAGTAGTAGTTTCTATAACAATGAGTTAAAAACATAAGCATTATAGTAAGGCATAAAAACAATAATAATTTTAAAACATAAGCATAGTAATTTCATCACGCTTCATTGACAAGAACTATCAAATCCAAGTTAGGGTGATTAAAAAAAAAAGGAAAAAAGAATCAGCTTCTACAGTGGGACCACTGTGAATGACATAAAATGACAATAAACAATGTCGAGATAAATATAGTTACCTCAACCTGATGTTGTAGTAACTGCATGTAATTAATTATGAGTTCTTTCCCAATAACCTAATCAAATAAAAATTATGTGGATACACAAGAAGAATACAATGGCAAGGCAAAATTAAAGTTGAACTACACTTGTAGATTTCCAACAAATGGTTTTCTATTTTTGATCAAGAGTTTTTTAGATTTTCTACAATTATTTAACCATAAAAATTAAAATCAACAACAAAATATCACATACCTTGTTACATCCTGGGACCAAGTCTTGTAGAATCTTCATCTTCTCATTGATCATCTCTCTCCTAGCATGACAAGAAAAGGTTTAGTTTACAAAACACACCACTATGGCTCACCAATGGGAGGTACTAATGGCAGGGATTCATGGTTTGAGATCCAAGATGGAAGATGCATAGGGGAGAGCTAAGGTAGTATGTTTGTTACTTTTTTCCAGAGTGAGCGACTTGCAAGCAAAGTGCCAAGCGTATTAGTCGATCACTTTTGAAAGAAACAAGGCCTAGAGGGATCATGGCTTGGTGGGAGATTACTATCATGGCAATCCTAATAGTTTGTGTGCCCCATTTAGACTAGGCTCATGAATGTAGGAGATTGCTAGCATGGAAATCTTGGTAGTTCATGTGCCCCCGCTTAGGCTAGGCTCATGACTATCGTGTTGGAGATAGCAGTCTTGATGGTTTATGTGCCCCCAATTAAGTTAGGCTCATAAACTCAATAATCAATCTATGGAGATATGGTGGCACTATGATGGCTACCCGTGGAGATATCAATCAATAGAGATGTTGTGATGCCGTCAAGGCTCGCCACTGGAGATCTGTATACCAATGTTCATTATGATTTGGTACCATAGCGCCTTGTTTCTTTAAGTAAATGCTAGGGTCTGGCGCTATGGTGGCTTGCCTCTTAGAGATCAAGCTCATGCTTTACCTTTGCAACTAAGTAACTAGTTATATTTGGAGGCCATAATATCTTTATAGTGTACAAGTGACCTTATACCATGAAAATCTGCAATTAAATGCTGGGAATGCCATACGGCTTCAACGTACTTTACATGATGTAAGTGATTAGTACATATCAAAGAATTGAATGACACTATTGGTATATGCAAACTAGTTATGACATGAGGGTGACAGTAGTAGAATCAAAGTCCATATGTTAATCCAACCATTTGCAGGAATAATTGAAGCAATACAGCTTCGCATACTTTCAACAGGTTATAGTGGCATACATATGTAGCCAAGTGAGCCATTACCCTTTAAAGAGCAATGTCAATAGTGTTTTTATCCTTTAGATAAGCATTCTAGCAAATGTTATACGACTTCTATGCTAAGCATATATATGCAAAAAAATCCATAGGTTTGGTAGAGAGTGAGAACTGACGAGAGAGGAAAATACAACTAAGAAATGGAAAACTCACATCACTCGTATGAAAACAACAAAAGCCTTACAAGGGAAAAACCCTAAATCCACAACAAAAGCAGCAACATCAACACCAACAAGTTCAAGATTGATTTAGAACCATTATTAGACATGTAACTAGCTAACATTGTTCTGTGGAATAAGTGCTCAAGTCACTCTCCAAAGTTGTATAAACTATAAGAACCTGTCATATTTCAAAGAATTATAGAGAATTTTCATTGAAACATCAATCGGTTGTTAATTTACTCTTAAGTACAATCTTAGACCTCCCACTGTTTCGGAATCCTCAAACCATTTTTCACTCCCATATCAGTGACATGGTACAAAATTCAATTACCCAACACAGGGGGTGAAGAGGAGGTCATGGAATGAGTAATATGCATCAAAAGGACACCACATACATGTACACTGTACATTTATCCAAAAAAAAACATACATGTACATTGTACAACCACATAAACCCCCTCTCAGTAACTCATAGCTTAAAATTCTAAATCACATCAAATAGGTAATGGGAGTGAGTGAAGCCCATGTTCCAAGTTCCTATTCCTAGTTAATCTTCTAGCACATTCCATTCCAGATCATAATTGTCTCTTTAACAAGGTTATTGGATTTTTAAAAGCAGACTTTGGATTTAAAAATCATATCAGAATTAAATGAAAGCAATCTCTTTGCATCGGCCCAAAGACAACAAATTTCAAAGTTGTAATATGACAAGCAATAAATCAAGAGATAAAGAGCAAGCCAAAATTTCAAATCTACATATATATAATTAACATGTTAATACCAAAGGGGAAATCGAACAAACATGGAAAAAAATAAATTCGAGAGCTTCATTGAGATGACTCACCTATCACAGACGGTTCTCAGAGCTCCGATTGAGAGCATCGTGAATTTCCCAAATCAAGAAAAACTTATTAATATATATATATATATATATATAAATCCAAACCCAAAATACCAGTTCTTCTGCAGCAATAAGGCCAAGTGTAAAAAAAGTTAAAAAGTTACGCTTAAAAAATTATCCCTATTTATTAAAAGTCAAAAATTATGAATGCATAATTCTCAATACTTACACATTAATATACATAATTTTTTAATACATATTTTTTCATAAAAAATCAAAAAATTAACCAAAACATTCATATTTTTTCGTTCAACTTTTTAATCTAAAAAGACAAAAAGTACACACACCTCAAACAGCCCCTAACTTTCAACCTTCCCTACAAACCCATAAAAAATAACTCTCTCTCTCTCTAGGGTGTTGCAGATGAATGGTAGAGAGAGAGTGACGTGAATAGCCGGATAAGCTCCCAATTTATTTTAGTTTTTAATTTTATTTAAGTTATTTTGGTATGTTTGGTTTAAATTATAACTTTTTTTAAGTCAAAAATTAGTTTTTTCTTTAAGTGAGACAGGAGAAGCTTTTCCAAACAGTTTAAGCGCGCAGCTGCCATTTGAGGGGTAAAATGACTTAAATGCCCCTCATAATTTCAAGCTATGACAAGTGTGCCATTACTAAAATAAATTTTATATTAATTAATACTAATTAATAATTTTAGTATTAATTGATTACAAAAAGCCATTAATTGCCACTTATTAATTTATAATGAAATAATTTTATACTAATTGATTTATAATAAAAAAATGAAAAAAATATTTATAATGAAAATAAGCCATTAATTGACACTAATTAATTAATAATGAAATAATTTTATACTAATTGATTTATAATGAAAAAGTGAAAATAATAATTTATAATGAAAAAATGAAAATAAGTCATTAATTGGCACTAATTAATTTATAATGAAAAAATGAAATAATTTTATACTAATTAATTTATAATGAAGAAATGAAAATAATAATTTTGTAATACTAATTATATTAACTTTTATTAATGAAATAATTTTTAAAAAAATTAAAACTGAAAAAAAAATTACAAAATAATCATTTTTATATCATATAAGAACAAAAAGGACAATTACATAACAAAAAGTTGTTTTACATCTTATTAACCAAACATTATTCTGCTGCTTAAATTCATAATCTCACAGCTGCACTAAACAGATTAACAGCTTATATTTACAGCTATAAGCTATAATCTGTTAAGTTATAATCTATAATTACTTTTCTACAACCCTACCAAACAGAGCCATAGTCGGGATCAAAATCGAACATCTATCAACATAAAAATAAATTATGTTTTATTTTATAAAATAAATAATAAATTTAAAATATTCATTTTATAAAACAAAGTGTTATTTATTTATGTATTTATAATTATTCGATAAATTTATAATTTTTACTATGAAAAGAATATGAGACCCATGAAAAGAACGTGAATAGATATAAAGCGAGGACATAAAGGTGAATTTATCTCGTGAACATCCCATTAAAAATTTGGGAGATTTTAGTGAAAATTAATGAGTAATTCTATAAACTCATTTTTGAAATCCTATACACTCCTACATTCTATTTGAGGATCTCAAATAATTTCTAAACTAAAAATAAGAGTTTATTGTTAAAATGTTGGGTTGGATAGACAACATGGGTGTTTGAAAAGTTGTTATTTTAGTTTTTGGTTATTTTAGTAGGTTAAAATTTTTGTGTTTAAAAAGATCGTTGTATTTTTTTCTAGTTAGATGTGTTGTTTATGAGAGAAAAAGTGAAATGATTATAAATTTGATGTGATATTTTGTCTTATTAGTTTTTTTAACCTATTTTGTCTTTTTGTGGATTTTAGCCTGAGCATCTCCAACCACACTCTTTATTTTTCACTAGCTAAAGTATAAAAAAATGACACTCTTTATTTTACCTAATTAGTTTAGCTATTGTGTGTTCCAACCATACTCTTTATTTTAGCTAATCATTCAAACTAATTTAACCAATTTTCAAAACAAAAAATGCTACATATAAAAATCCAATCCAATCCGATCCCTCCCCAAACATTTTGCTCATATCGGTAAATTTAATTAAAGACACTTTACTTTTAAATATTACAAAGTGTGACAGTCTACAAACAACTTCATAGTGCAATTAATAATTAAAAAAATATATATATAATACATACATTTTAAACATTCTTTTAGCAAATAAGATTTATTATAGTACAAAACCTAGAAAATACAAAAATGAAAAACTTGACTATAAAAGATCAGCATAGTTTACCTATTTACTTACATATAGTCCACCAATTAATTTGAAAGTGTCATGGCCAAGACAATGTTATTGATTTCTTTGCACTTCCTGTTTAGTATGTTCTTAAGGCTAAAATCTCAATGACTTGAGCTTTACCCTCTTCTACCTAGATTCTCCAGATTCACCTCTTTTTAAGCATAACCTACCCTACGAAAAGAAGATCCAATGCGCATCCAACATTCCAATAGATGAGCTCTTTTCTTTTTTACCATGTCATCATCAACAAAATCACAGAATTATAGTTTCCAATCTTTAGATGCTGAAATTCCATCTCCCCAGATCGAGACTCAAACTTTCAAATACATAGTTAAATTAGGAATTGGCACATTCAATACCATAACACCATACAAAGAGTACTGCTTGGAAATAGACATAAGAAGCTATATCACATGAATCTAATGTCAGGGTTGTAAAAAATGCTTTAAGCAGACATCAAAACCTTTCCCTAAGAACATATCCAAATCTTTTCAGCGAAGACGCTTGATAGCATTCCGGATCTCCTCCTCTGTAAAACCTGCCTCCAATTGTGCCACAATTTGAGCTCCTCCTATACTCTTAAAAGGGCCAGACAATTTGGGACGGACTTTCCAATCTTCCGAAAATAGCCTCATAAAATGAACTTGAACTACATCCCTTATTTCCGAAGGCTCTTCAAGCAACATACCATTCATTGGTAATGAACACAGAGAATTCCTGCTATTCCTGCTACATGCCATTATATGACTTTGATAAGAATAATAAAATAGCTGGAATTATGGGCCTACGATGGGGTGATCCATACTACATCTCGTAGGCCTCCTCGGAGTTTTCTAAGGTTTGGTGCAGATATTCCAAATAAGGCCAGTTCAGGCATCACCGATCTGCAATACGTTATGCACAGGACATTTTACTACTTGGAACTTCAAAGCATTTGCATCAATGAACAAAGACTCAATATAAGTCCAAGTGTATTTGCATTGAGAGACGATCATAATGGTGTCAAGGGTGGTTGCTTCATTGACCCTCGCATGAGATAATCAAGAATCACTATAACAAATAAGAGTCTTAAAAACTTGGTGTCTAAAAATGAAAATTTTGTTACAAAAGACATTTGAAGACCAATTTCTATAGTCAGGAGAATAATCGTTAAAAGATAGTCTCAAAAAGTCTAAAACAAGCCTTGAAAATGTTTTAGGCTTTAAAATAAAATATTCTAAATAATTATTTCTTATTATGTGCTCACTGTTACTTAGAAAAATATGTATGTTTATTGTCCAAATATCAATATCGTTGTTAATTATTGTTATTTTAAAAATTGATAATTTGTCTATTTGGTTATTATCTTTATTAAGAATAGTTGATAGGAAATATCTAAAAAGAAAAAAAGGAAGATAGTGATCTTACATAAGAATCTTTGTTAACTTATTACCTATTAAACTACGTGATTATCACTTAAAATAACATTTTCATTGATTTAAATTTAAATATTTCATATTTATAAGATATATTTAACATCTAAATGTGTAAATATATATTTTTAAGTAATTTTTAAAAAGCGACCGAATCTTTACGATTCACGATTCGATTCGATTCGCGATTCGGTACAAGGTCATTTCGATTCACGATACGAATCTCGATTTGACAACTATACTCTATATACTATGTCTTAGTTCTACTTATTCTAAATCTTTTAGATTCAAGTACTTTTCTTAAAATCTTCAACTTAGTGTTAACTCCTTCTCTAGTCTTATCCAATAACACGATATCATCTGCAAAAAGCATATGCCATAGCACATCATCCTGAATATTGCGCGTCAACTCATCCATAGCTAAAGCGAAAAGATAAGGACTTAAGGTTGATCCTTGGTGTAACCCTACATAAATTGAAAATTCACTCGTCTCTCCAGCATGTGATCTAATTGTGGTCACCACAACTTCATACATATCCCTAATCACATCAATGTAACCTTTTGTCAATCTTTTTTCTCTAACACCCACCAGATTATATCTCAAGGCACTCTATCATATGCTTTCTCAAGATCGATAAAAATTATATGAATGTCTCTTTTCTTGTCTCTTCTTTATATTTTTCTATTACTCTCCTGAAAAGATAGATGGCTTCCATTGTTGACCTATTAGGCATAAACCCAAACTGATTCTCTGACACCCCTGTTATATCTCGCAATCGACGTTCCATCACTCTCTCCCACACTTTCATTTTGTGTCACATTAGCTTGATTCTTCTATAGTTGTTGCAATTCTGAACATCTCCTTTATTCTTATATATTGGTACTAAAATACTCTTCCTTTACTCTGGCATTTTCATAGTTAACAAAATCTTGCTAAATAACCTAGCCAACCAAATAACCCCCTTCTAACCCAAACATTTTCACGCTTTAATAGGTATATCATCGGATCCTAAAGCCTTATTCAATTTCATCTTCTTAAGTGCAAACTCCACTTCAAAGTTCCTAATCTTACTATAGAACTTATAGTCATGGTTTTCCTTATTACTGTCTATTTCCTCGCCTTTTGACCTACCTCCATGTTTCTCATTTAACAGCTTCTCAAAATAGTTTTTACACCTCTCCTTAATCTCTTCATCTTCCACCAATGCCTCAAAGTTCTCACCCTTGATGCACTTAATCTGATTAACATCTCTGAGTTTCATCTCTCTTAGCTTAACAAGTTTGTATATTCTCTTCTTTCCCTCCTCACTATCTAGGCTAGTGTATAGGCCATCATAAGCTTTTAACTTAGTCTCTCTCACTACTTTTTTGACCTCCTTATTGGTCAATCTATAGCTCTTAAGGTTTTCCTTGGTTTGCCACTTTTTAAAGGTCTCTTTTTTCATCTTTATTACCGCTTGGACTTCTTCCCTCCACCACCAAGTTTCCCTAAAGTTGGATCCCTTTCCTTTCGACTCTCCAAGAACTTCCCTTGAGATTCTCCTCATACAGTTGGCCATCGAGTTCCACATAATGTTAGCATCATTTTTCAAGTTCCAAGTACCTTCTTTATCCATTTTGTTCTTGAATGTGTCTAGTTTATCACATTTTAGGCCCCACCATCTAGTCCTGCGACACCACTATCTTTTTGAGTTTGTTATCGCCCATTAAAGAATAAATCTAGTACCAAAATCCTATGT